ATATTGTCCTGTATATGGAGATTATCCATTTATTCAATGTATTTATTCTTTTCTATTGGTTCAACTAGGTGGACTTATGTCTTTTCATCAACCTGACTAGCTATGTAAGATTGCATGTTCAGCCGATGCTGCTCTACTAGTACCCCCAAGAACAAGAGGACCACTATTAGCAGTGTAGAAGGAACCTGGGCATTCAGCTGATGAATGCTAGTGCAACATATGATTGCCGTGGGGTCATCTTTTGGCAGTAGTGGCAGTGGTCTGTACAACCTCAACAAGTTGAGCTTCAAAGGTGGGTGTTCAGGGCTGTGTCCTGTAGCCCTCTGGCAGCTTTTTAGCTTCAGAATAGTTGTATTGTGGCCAACACAACATTTCTCAATGTGCTGTGCCAGGAATGATCATATACAGACTTTTCCTAGCCTGGTGACTAAACTCCTGTTCCATATCTGCAATGCAGCAATGCAAACCCCATCCAGAGAAGAGGTTAGAAACCTGTAGGCGTAACACAATATTCAGTAGTAAATGTTAAAGTAAATAGCTATTTGCTTGTATCTGTTTCTGGTGTAAATAGCTCACTGTTTGATCATTTATTAAAAGCAAAGGAGGTGTACATGACAGGAAAGTATATTTTGAATACTCAGAATTTCCCAGCCTTTACAACTGCAAGCTGGCAAAGAGGACTACATAGAAACCAGTTTTTAATGGTTTAGTAAAAACAGATATCTCAGTTGTATCACCACAAAAAATACCACTTAATATGGTGTTTCTAAATGACTTTATATGCCCCATTACTGGTAATATTGTTGATTAGCCCCGTCTGGAGCCTCCCATCCCTTTAACCTCCCCAGCGGTCTGATTATGTCAGTATTTTCTGTGCTCAAAGCAGTACATTGTTTTAAATGGAAAACACTGTATTTTTGTATTGTAGGCCTGTCATTCTTAGGAATAACTCACTGAAATCTGTCCGAACAAGAGTCTAGTAAACATCCCGGGTATGTTAAAATTTTGAAGAAATACAAATGATGTAGCGCTAAAACACCCAGTAAAAGCGTCAGTGCCTTAGGACATGCAGCATGATGTTAAAATCCTATATGAACATAATACATATATGTGCGTGATGATACTGACAAAATGGAAAACAGATGTGTAACCCCTACACACAGTGCACATATATGAATATAAAGTCCAGTGATCCTGTATCAATATTTGCACTCAAACAGAGTCCTTGGACTGTATGTGGGCCCGCACACCACCACGTGCAATCCGAAATCAGCTGAAGTGGCCTCTCACCTCCTCCCTGCGACCCTGCAGGGCCACAGAGCTTTATCAGATCCCCACTGAGTCAAGGTATGCTTCTTCTTGAGTGGATGGTTGGTATATCCCCAGTATACAGCTTCCACCTCTCCTGTGGTATCCTCCGAGGTGAGCTGAGCAGGATTAATTATCATCATGTTAAAATTTTAAACATGAAATCATAAATTATAATTTAATAAATAATCATAAAAATAAAATAATAATAATAGTAAATGTAATTCAATAATGTAATCAAACCAAAAACACTGAAATTTGAAATAGAGCACCAAGTTTGCACATCACTGAGCAAAGTCGCAGAATCGTTTTCAGTAACTGATGACGAATTTCCCCACACGAATCATTATCACTCAATTCTGCAAGTGGTTCTGATTTACTATCGCTGTTCTCTAGCTGGTCTAAAACCGCATTTGACCTAAAGGGACGCTTTTTGGACGCCATGGACGTTTCTCAGTTTCCAGGCAGAAAGAATAGTAAAAATGCAGGCAGGGCACAGGACAAAGCACTCGGGACAAAATGTATGTGAAATGGTTTGATACAATAATGTAATACTATCAGGGGCGGACTGCAAATCATGGGGCCCCCGGGCAATAGGGGATCATGGGGCCCCTGTGTCCTTGCCCAAACTCAAAAAAGCCTATGAAAAAGGTACCAGGGGCATCTCATGGGGCCCCCTACTGACCCCGGGCCCTCAGGCAGTGCGCGAGTTTCTAAATGGTCAGTCCGTCCCTGAATACTATCAGATTTCAGCATATTGAGTGAATTACAAATGTTTAAATTTTTTTAATTTCCGCCGGTTCTGTCCCCTGTTCGTCCCGTACTTCCCAACCTCGCAGGGAACGAAACCCGGAAGACAGATGCTGGCATCGACCGGAGGACATGGCCGGGGACGCTGCAGGGGGACATCGCGAGACCGCAGGACAAGGTAAGTGCTGGAGGGATCCCAGAGCAACACTGCAGGGTAATCCCGAGTGTGGCTCGGAGTTACCGCTTCTGGTACTGAAAGTTAACCCCAAGCTACACTTGGGAATACCGCCAGGGGGGAGCTGCTGCTGGGAAGCTGAGGTGGGCATTTTGGTCTTGCGACCATCGTGATTGGCTGTAACAGCGGTCACATGATTAGAAAGCTCCAGATCGCAAGTAGAGACTGGGAGCTTTCCTTTACCAGCTGATAACTGTGCTGGAGCACACAAGGCGTGTGCTCTGGGCACAGCATTGTTCACATTTTGGTTTTACATATACGTGGCCTCTCTTAGTTAAGACCCACCGGCCTATAGGCCACATATATGTGCACGACTGGTGGGAAGAGGTTAAAGCTTAACTCCAGCACAATCAAGTTTTCCTTTTTTCTTTTGATGGAAAAGAGATTAAACCATGGTCAGGTTATGAAGGTGTCTGCATCTCATTGGGAAGATTTCCTTTCACTTCCTATAGTAAGTGATGGAAAATCTCTCATTGGGAACACAGGTTACAGAAAAACATTTTTTTGCAAAGACCCTCTGTCATGCTATTATTGCTATCTGTGTCTTCCTCTCCTGGTAACAGCTGCTCCCTTTTTTGTATTGTTCCAGGTCACAGAGACAGAATGGGGTAGATTATATAAAAACTGGTGTACTCAGAGATTGGTGCAGCTGTGCATTGTAGTCAATCAGCTTCTAACTTCAGCTTGTCCAGTTAAGCTTTGGGAACAAAACCTGGAAGCTGATCGGCTTCTATGAAGAGCTGCACCAGATTTTGCACTCTCCAGTTTTAGTAAATAACCCCCAATTTGTCATAAAATCTCCCCAACAAGGTTATGGACAGCAGTTGAAGACTTGACAAAATTATGTACGATTTTCAAGTCTATCACAAACGAAAAAAACTGGCGTTGACATTACAAAGGTACCCTCATTGTGGTGAGTGAATTCCACATATATATGAACATGTAAGATAATGACTGATACAGCAACTTTAAATGGGTACCTGTTAGCTAAAGACATAGGAGCTGCTTTGCTGACTTGTTTTAAAAGGGCCTTTTCCTGGGCTATCAACTTTATTTTTGATTCACCGTCTCCTTTACTTGAACCAAGCATTTAGGGTATGCATTTTGATACTTCACTAGCTCTATGTTTATTCAGTTCCAGAAACTCAGTGGCTATCTGAGCCAAAATAATCAGAGAGTAATCAGAAAGTAGACTTGAAGGTTGATCGCCTGGCACCACATCCCCAAAATATAATTGGAACACCAATAGGTGGGACTTTTAGGGTGCCATTAATAAAACATAAAAAGAACTTGATTCCAAAATATTTTGTAAGTAAAATAGATCACAATAGATAATAAAATGGAGCTCATTACCATCCTTTTCAGAGAATGACGTCCATGAAGCCATGTGGATCAACTGTAGGTATAGGATTGTGTATATGGAGGTTTTCTATGTATGTGTGTGTTTTATTTTCTATGAGTTGCACTGGATGGACTAACTGTATAACTATGAGATGCTACAACTGTATATGTATACAACAAGAGGTTAGACATAACCTTTAGTGTGAAATAAGCATTGATGGTATGCAATTCTTCAATGTGTTTTGCAGTGAACTTTATTTATTACAGGTGCTTATATAGCACTGTCAATTTACACAGCACTTTACATGTATATAAATATATAGGGGAGCACAGTGGCTAAATGGTTAGCACTTCTGCCTGGCAGTACTAGGGTCACTGGTTCGAATCCCAACCATGGCACCACCTGCCTGGAGTTTGCATGTCCTCCCTGTGACTGCATGGTTTTCCTCCGGGTACTCTGGTTTCCTCCCACACTCCAAAGACATGCTGGTAGGTGAATTGGCTCCTGTCTAAATTGACCCTAGTATGTGTGTGTGAATGTGAGGTAGGGATCTTAGCTTGTACACCCCCTTAAGGGTTAGGGACTGATGTGAATGTACAATATATATGTAAAGTGCTGTGTAAATTGACAGCGCTATATAAGTACCTTAAATAAATATATATATATATATTGTACATTCACATTGCTCCATAACCCTCAAGAAATGTAGAATCTAAGTTCCCTAATTCACATTCATACATACACATACTAGGGCCAATTTAGACAGGAGACATTTAAACTACCAGCATGTCTTTGGTGTGTGGGAGGAAACCGGAGTACCCAAGAGAAACCCACACAGGCACAGGGAGAACATGCAAACTCCACGTAGGTGGTGTCATGTTTGGAATTTGAACCAATGACTCTAGCACTGCCAGGTAGAACTGCTGATCATTTAGCCGCTGTGTTGCCCATCATCACTGTGCGGATTCATCAGAGAGATATTATACATGGCAGAGATGTGTTGCACCCAGTCATGGGATCTTATCTTATAAAGCCAGGCATGGCCACCAATAGAACCCCGAGGGGACTTTGGTGGACTGCTGACGTAAAAAACAGAGTAACATACTAGCTTTTCAGATGGATGAAGGGTTAAACTAAAAGATGTAGAAAGAGTAATGCCAACAAGAGATCTCCTAAAGGGGTAAATACATGATGAAAATAACCCAGAGCAATAAACCAGCACCTGTTCAATCAATTAAGCTCACATGCACCTCCATGCCCACCGGGTAATTGTGAGCAACAGCCAAAACATAGAAACATATAAAACTGTAAATCTGACATTCAACACACATTTACTGCAGGCCTGACCATTTGGCCTGACCAAATGGACTGACCATTTGGAAACTCGGGCACTGCCCGAGGGCCCGGGGTCAGTAGGGGGCCCCATGAGATGCCCCTGGTACCTTTTTTCACAGGCTTTTTTGAGTTTGGGCAAGGACACAGGGGCCCCATGATCCCCTATTGCCCGGGGGCCCCATGAGTTGTCAGTCCGCCCCTGACTGCAGGTGAATCTTCTTGATGCCTGTGCATTAAATGACAATGATTGATTCACCACCAGCGAAAGTTTGGTGAAAGTCTCATTTACTGCTTTTTAAATATGCTCCTCTGAGACTATGAGGATAAGGAAAAAGCAAGGAAGAGTTTAAATAATGATGTGTCAGTTCATGTAGCATTTCAGATTCCTGGGTCCTTCTGTAATTCTGCCTGCATGCTTTGTTTAACGCCTAAAAATTTTACAGCTGCACACAAAATAAATGAATGAGCTATTACAGACTCCAGAAATGCCAGCTTACAGGACACTGACAGAATAAGCTGACAAGTCTGTATGTCAAGCCTAATAATTCACCTCTTAGATATCACAGGATGTCATTCCTCAGAATCTTACTGGCTACATTTATAGTTTTGGTTACACAGTCATAATGACTCTACTTTATATCCTAACTGCTGAAAAGGGCTATTAATGTCTTTGTTGCTACAGTGCATTTTAACTCCATTTACTTTATACTTGGTGAGGGGGGTTATTGTCAGTAGCTGCACATATTTTTGTCTTTTATGACGATAAAGTACATAAAAATAATTTTTTATGCTTTTGTTCATTAAGTGTATGTATAGGCAAAACTTTTTTTTAATTTTACAACAGTGTTGAGTGGTTAGAACTAGTGATGAGTGAACCAAAGTTTGTTTCTCTGGACAGTCATCAAATATTAGAAAAAAAATCCCAAAACCAAAAGCATGTAGCACCTAAACCCCAAAAAGTTTATGTCAACTGAAAAGTTATTTTTTCTGGCCTTTTTCAAGGATAGTTTTCAACCTTTTGGCAAACAAGGGACATGGGTAACTGGGCACTGCCTTTGCGAACATGTTCCAATGCAAAAAAAAAGATGGGGTTTAGCAGGGAGCATTTTTTTTATAAATAAGGCTTAACCACTTCAAGTCTGGACACTTTCACCCCCTTCCTGTCCAGGCCAATTTTCAGCTTTCAGTGCTATCACACTTTGAATGACAATTGCGTGGTTATGCAACACTGTACCCATATGAAATTTTTAGCATTTTTTGAGACAGATAAAACTTTATTTTGGTGGTATTTATTCACCATTGGGATTTTAATTTTTTTGCTATAAAAATGAAAAAGGCCAAAAAGTTTGAAAAAAAAGTGTTTTTCTTATAACATTTTGCAAATAAATAATCTTTCTTCATAAATCTTGGCCAAAATGTATTCATCTATCTTTTTAGTAAAAAAAAACCCCAAATTAGTTTATAACCAAATATAATTTTTCTAATTTTTTTTTTTACATTTTTATTTTATTTTTTTCAATTATTATTTATGTATTTTTTTACATACCCTAGCAGTACAGTGTCACTATTTATGAGGGGTGATAAAGATTTTTTTTTTCTTTTTTTACACTGATTGCTTTTACACCATAAAGGCTGTAAAAGCAATAATTTCTCCTCTCTGGCTGCATTCTTGCAGCCATTGAGAAATACTGTGCGAGCTGGGATTGGTCACAGCTTGTCACATGGTACAAGGCTGTTGTGAATAGCCTTGCATCATATGACCACAGTGATCATTCAGAGATTTCACAAGTAGTAAGCAATGATGTCAGGAAGTGACATCTTGTTTACTACTATTCTAGTGATCACTGATTGGCCAATGGCCAATAGAAACATCCACCCACATTGGCAGCACTCCCATCCGGCCGTTTATCGGCAATGGGCCGGATGGGAAGAGGTTAAAGGCCATCATGAAAATTTTTGAAAAATATTTCACTCTTGCTCTTTGTTCTAACTTGCTGTCCATTATGAAATTGCAGACGTGGTCAGAATAGCACCAATTGCACAGCTCCCAATGTACACAGGACAATGTCTTTGATTTATGAAGGTCAGTGCTCCCATTGACTGTGCGTGCAGCTTTGTGCTGCCATCTGTTGGCATGTTATAAAATGAATAAATACGTGAAAAGGTAGGCGCTGCAATAACCATGCATCAAAAGATGAAAACAACTAAACAACAAAGTGATCTCCCAACATCTAACAGATGAAATTCCTGAACAAAATATGATATGCGGGGAACACTATATATATATATATATATATATATATATATATATATATATATATATATATATATATATAGTGATAGTCCCATAAAGATGTAGACCCGTAGACCAAAAGATATGCTCTTTCGTCGTGTGCAGACAATAAGTGAATTTCTCATTCACCAGAAGAAATTGACCCCGGTTAAGGTGGTCAAGTACCACTTGAGTATTGACGACCAGCAACAGGCTCTCCTGGATTAAACCTCCTTGTCTCCTAATAAGAGATATTGATCCAGGGAATCAAAGATAACTGCCCCCAGTTGGGTGATCACAAGACTCTGGGTACATCAATAGTGGATGGATTCACAATCTCAGGCTCTCCTCAAGACAAAGGTGATGTTCTAAGCAGCAATCCCCGCTGCCACCGCTCTCTCTTCTTCTCAGGGCCGGGCAGAGGGCTCTCTGGGAAATGTAATCCGGCAGCTGTGCCAGTTCCTGACTGACTGTGAGAAGAGAGAGCGGTGCCACCGGGGATTGCTGCTTGGAGCATCATCTTTGTCTTGAGGAGAGCCTGGGGATGTGAATCCTTCCACTATTGGTGTACCCAGAGTCTTGTGATCACCCAACTGGGGGCAGTTATCTTTGATTCCCTGGATCCATATCTCTTATTAGGAGACCGGGAGGTTTAATCCAGGAGAATCTGTTGCTGGTCGTCAATGCTCATGATAACAAAGTGGTACTTGACCACCTTAACCAGGGTCAATTTCTTCTGGTGAGTGAGAAATTCACCTATTGTCTGCATGCGGTGAAAGAGCATATATTTTGGTCTACAGGACTACATCTTTATGGGATTATCACCGTATATATTGTGTTCACCACATATCATATTTTGTTCAGGAATTTTATCTGCCAGATGTTGATAGTTTACTTTGTTGTTTAGTTGTTTTCATCTTTTGATAACTGGATATTGCAGCGCCTACCTATTCACGTATTTATTTGTCCAAGTGTATTTCACTTTTTAGGGGCAGCTGTCTACCTCTTTTCCGGCTTAATGCGGGCAACATATATTATTGTTTGGACATTCATTCACATAGACACCACAATATTTCATTTATTTATATGTGTTACAAAACTAGGCTCGACACTTTTTGATACCACCTCGTACATCAATAAAAATAGACAAGACCTTATATTTAACAATGCTTGAGGGATGCCTTAAAACTGCATTTGAATTAGTGCATCTGTACTCCAGCAAAATAGACATAAAAAAGTTTTGGCCATTATATATTAGTTCTGATCCTTGGCCTGCCTTTAAAAACAAATCAGCCTGGATATTCCTGGTGATGTCACTGATCACATATGGCCATTACCACATTTGGTCAATGATGTCAGCCAGCATCCCTGGGTAGTTTGCTGACATTCATCTGCCAGCCAGGAAGCTGTCATTTGCAACAAGAATTTGGCAGGAGAGGATCACTGGCATGGGTTGTCATACTAGTGTCAGTTGGTCTTCGGGGCTTCTTTGATCTCGATTAATGATGAATCTAGATCACTGCATAACATGACTTACAATGGATTTACATCTTGAGACATGTTTTTTTTTAAACAATACTTTTTCAACAGTATTGTCTTTACATGCTTGGAGTCCTACTTACAAATCCATACCTTATCTAGGATAATGGTCTGATATGGTTTCTAAGGGGGCACACACTTCTTGTGGCCCCCTATGCCTGGATAAGGATCAGGTATGCATTTTTAAAATGAAGAAAAAAAAAAAAAAAAAAATGAAACAAAATAGTGTGTGGTCCTTCCAAAATCCATACCAGACCCTCTTCCTAGATAGTGGTCTGGTCTGGATATTTAAGAGAAACTCCATGCAAACAAAGTGCCCCTCCCCCTCCAAAAAAAGAATCCTTACCAGACCATTATCCTAGATTAGGTAATGGTATTGATCTTTAAGGGAGACCCCATGGCAAAAAAAACTTGAGCCCAACAAAATCTATACTAGAATCTTGTCCAGGAATGCAGCCTGGCTGGCCAGGAAAGGGAGACCATACCAAGCTATGCCCTTACCAGTGGGGAGTCATCCCCATCCCTGGCCCAATAGATGGGGGAATTATCAGAATCTGGCAGCCCCCTTTAAAATAAGGTTTCCCCAGATATGCAACTCCCTCCTACATGAATGATTATAGAGTGCATAATTACTCATTCACAAAAAAATTGTAAATAGTATGTAAATACGATGTAAATCCAACATTAATCACGTCATCCAGTGATGTAGATACATCATCAGTCATGATGAATGACCACTCCACCAGCACAAACCCGATACTAACACTAACCATGCCCACCTGCCATACTCTTGCTGCAAATGATAGCAACCTGGCAGGCTGCTGAATGTGAACAAACAGGCCAAGGAAAATTGCTAGTTTCATTGACCAAAAATGGTCTTTATGGTCATGATCATAAATGATCAATAACATCACCTAGATTCAATAAGTGTACTGTGTAAACAGCATTCACTTGTGTTAACTTCAGTGCTTCCAACACCACAACCAAATGCAAGCCTGTTATTAGAAGCCCTAGATCTCCAACATGAGGTCATAAACACAAATAGAACGTCCTGAGGATCCAATGCACAAACCACCGCACTGTATGGATAATTACCTCAATTAGAAGAAATATACACAGCATGTAAAAACGCTGAAATTCTGCCCACTGGCATGCATGATGACATCAGCCTGCTAAGCACTGCCCCAGGAGAGCTAACCTTAAGTGAAAATACCATCTCAAAATCAGTTGATCCATGGGCAGGGAATATTGTGATGTATATGCAAAGCTGTGAAAATTGACCTTGGCCCCACTTCCTCAAGCTGATAAGAGAGCTTAAATGGTGGGAGTGGATGATGTTAAGCCCTGCTTTATTGCAAAAGTGTATATTTTCATGTAATATGTATGCAATTT